GATGACAATACCTTCTGGGAATCAAGGCTATGTGAAATTCAATGGAAACATAAGGTCTGCTCCTACGATTGTGGGAAAATTCAACTGCAAGTCCTTCATCGCCTTAATAGATATAAAGTGAATAAATCTCATATAAATGGAGAAATATTGACGTTCACACGCCTGCATCACTCATACAAATAGGATTAAGCTTGATTGGCTTTGCCACAAGTATACTTGATTTAATTATAGATCAACTATTCTCTTTATCCTAACATTGCATGTCGTGCACTAGTGGATCGGCAGGCTAGCATGAGACCCTCATCTTATATTTGCATCCTTCGCATTCACGACGGACATCATTTGTAGGTTGCTTTCATAGACAGAACCCCAAAGGTCTTCCGACTTATTATCGTTCATGTTTTACTAAAGTCATAGAAGGCCATAACAAGCTCATCGAACCCTGCCTTCATTGCCATTAGAAAAGCCAATTCATCATGACTGCTGAGTTGAATTGTTATGCTTAGAGATGTGCATGAAGATGTACTCAGCTTCAGAAAGGTTGCCATTGCCGCAGTGTATAATCATAAAAACCTTGATAACAGAGAAGGGATCTATTATCAGGTCCATCCATTAATCTAGGATTTCCATCCTTCGAACGTCTAACTTGCTTGAATCAGAAGGGCCTATCACAGACGATCTGGAAACTGACAATCATAAAGACCCACCACAACGGATAATCAAGAAGGAAATGTATCTCGATGATGCCGATTGAAAGTTTACAATCGTCGAGAGGAATCTTTCTTTAGCTGCTGTATGCGTTGCAGCCGCCATTTGCAACTCTATTGCGGGAAAAAGGGTCACCCAAGGTAAAACAGACAAGGGATGTCTCATTCCTTAATAATCTTTTTCAATGCTACAGATTTGTGCACTTTTACATTAGAAGATCTTTATAGCTGGTTCGTCATAACTTTCAATAATGAAGTCCGATATTCTAATATGTGAATCGTGTTCACTCTATTTCGTTTAAGGTGACAAATGACTGGTAGTTGCATTTTCCCACAGTCATATGAGCAGAGCTGATGTGTCCATTGAATTTCACACAGCCCTGCCTTCCAAAAAGTCGTTCTCATAAAGGGTGTACTGCAGTTTCTAACTCGCCTAGGTCTTATCAACACCCTTAGCGGAAGTCGAACCATGACGATGCAGCTTGTGAGCTCGACATTATCACGGTGCCTTTGGGTCAGAGGGCAGATGCGAATTTCAAGGAAGGTCAGACATTTTCCATATCATATTTTGTGTTGGGATTGTCGATGAAGCAAAATTATATTTGCTATAACATTTAACCACATTACCTTATCATATATCTGACTTTGTGGTGGTCTCGAACACCTACTCAATAGTGAAAAAAAGTAATGTCGGCGATGGCTATAGCAAATATAACAATCTCAACACGGAATATGATATGGAAAACACCTAACATCCCCTGAAACTCACATCTACCCTGTGACCTAAGAGCACTTGTGGCAATGTGTCGTAGTGGTTAACGTTACGAGCACATATTCTGTACTGTCATGATTCAACTCCCACTTGGGGTGTTGATAAGGCCTAGGAGAGGTCGAAACTGCAGTTCACCCTGTATAAGAACAACCTTTTGGAAGCAAGGCTATATTAAATTCAATGGAAACGTCAGCTCTACTCATATCATTGTGGGAAAATACAACTGTCGGTCCTTCATCACCTTAAGCAAACTAGGATGAACACAATTCATATATATGATCTACTGGTGGTCTCGAAAACCTACTCAATACCGACATTATAACAGTTTTCTGCTCATCTATTGTCAGCAGAGTAGCACTGAGCCCAAACCTTGGGATTTTGTTTCAAAAGTTACAAATTCTTGATTAGCAAGGCCTACAGTATCTGAGTATCAGCTCATAAACACACCAATGAATTCCATCTGAGCTCTCCAAAATCGGGTCAAACATTTACCAATAGAAATATTCCCCGAAACTATCGTCGTTCTTTGGCGGGCCCCTTGCCTGGCTACTTAGAAAGAATTCAGATTTGGCGGGTACCTTCAAACATCTCATAGTTTTCCATTGAATCTTCATTTGCTTCTCTTTCCTTTAATCGAACAGATGTGTACACTTCGGAAATGTTCACCTATTTACCTTACAGAATGATACTCCTCGAATAGGCAGAGAGAAGCCAGATTCGTTTGGGAGAGTATGTTAGCAAATCAGCTTGGACACGAAATGTCCTTTTCCATTAAAAGCCTATTTTCAAATAACAACCACTCAAACTTTGCATAACCATACGTTTGGATATTATTATATCTATAACAAATTTGTGCTTTTTAGGTTCTCCTGTGAATTTATTGGACCTAGTGGTTTCAAAGACTAAATAATGAGGAGTAACAGCAAAAAGATAGCTATAAAATTAACTACGTAAATATTATGTTCCGAGTATAGTCAGCATCGTGTATTTTATAATTTTCTCGAATAAACACAACAGCTGAGGGCCTGAACACCCGAGGGAAAGACCAAATTAGGCAATAAATAATGCAGACTCATACTAGCATTCGGTTCCCCGACTCGCAGGACTCAAGTTTCTGACAAGCTTCTCTCGTCATCGGGACTATCCGATGCGTCTGTGAGGCAGTACCATGTCGGTCCTGATGGACCGACTTGTCGTGCCACCTAGTTCCGAGGTAGTTGAGTGCAGTCTTAGGTCGCTGGTCCAAGTTGATCGGAGGCAGCTGGAGATCGTGATGATAGCCTGAATCACGCTGTTTTGTCACCAAGAGATCTTCGTTTGATAGACTGCGTGGTCGACGCTCCTGGCTCGTCACAATAGCCTCAGCAACTGCGGTCTCCTCTGAATGTGATACGGCATCGGCCATCGGCCCGTCACCCTTTGCGTTTGTTTGGTCACTGGGAGGTTGGGCAACTAAAAGAGCTGTCAAGCGACCCGCGATTACGCCTGGTTCAGTGGAATGGCTTCTTCGAAGTGCTCGCAAGGAGTATATGTTAGCATGCTCGAGCATCTTTTGTTTTGCCTAAAGTCGAGACGTAACCAGACGCAATACGTCAATTAGAAGTATTCCGATAATAGTTACATTTACTTGTGAAAAAATGAAATTAAGCAAAATGAGGATATAGGAACATAAAAACGAGAACCTTTGACACAGGTAATATTTCGAATTTTGTGCGTAGTTCATCGAAAGAACAATATTGACGAATCAAAATTGTATTTGAGTAACGCTGATGCGAAAAAAATCTAGTTTATGTTATGCTTAAAAGAGAGAGGAAAGCAAAGATCATGTGAATTAAGTTTGGTAGTAGTAGACACAGTGGGGATTTGACATCGTTTTAAGAAAATACAGTTTAAGGCACTGCCTCCTATGTCACCGTAGTCACGATAATTTCAGACATTCGACCGTAGACTTGATACATTCCCAGACGTTTCTCAGGCATCGTCAGCTAGAGGCACCATCCTTAGGATAGACTTGTAACGTTCTAATGACACATGAAGACATTCCCTTGACCAATTTTCTCTTCGACCATCGTGGTATCTCCCATTCCCCTTGTCCTAGCTTCTAGCCCTGAATCCCTATCCGACGAGCCCACTTACCTAGTCCCACCTCTCAGTTTCTTCGTCTGCTTC